CTGCAGAGTAATATTTCATTGTATAAATATACCACATTTTGTTTATCCATCTTCAGGTGACAGTCATTGGGGTTGTTTCCACTTTTCAACTATTGTGAATAATGCTGCTATAAACAATTGTACAGATCATTGTATGGACATATGATTTCATTTCTCTTGGGTACATATCAAGGAGTGAAATTGCAGGATTATATATATGATAACTCTTAAGTTTATCTATTTGAAGAACTGCCAAACTATTTTTCCACAGTAAAACTACACCATTCTACATTCCCATCATCATGTATAAAAATCAAATTTCTTTACTCCTTCACCAGTAAATTCTTTTTTTCACTTTAAAAAATTGTTTAGATTGATGGGTTTAATTTTGGCAGATTTTTACATGCATGTAACATACTTTGACCATTTTCACCCCATATTACCCACCTTTGCCCTTTCCTCCATCCTAGTTTCACATTTTGGGGAATTCAATATGTATATTTTTCTCATATTACAGTAAAAGACATATTGCCATTAATGTCCTTCAAAGTACCTCCCCTCACTACAAACATACTTACGCCATCATTCTTGCTTCTTTCTGAAGCAGTTCTGGAAGTCCTCTTTTATTATGTGTGATCAGAAATGGTGAATGATACTACTGAGCAACATTCAGTGGAAAGCAGGTTCATAAAAACATTACAGAGTATCCTCATCCACCTTATTCACTAGATATGGCACTGTATGACTTCTGGACATCAAGGCAGCCACAAGAGCATAACTAAAGATAGTTGGAAAGAGGACTTCCAGAACTGCTTCAGAAAATAGGACAAGTATTTGATATGAGGGAGAATATTTTGAAGGGGATTAATGTCGGTGTGCCTTTTATTATAATTGATATTTTTAAAAATTTAAACATTCACCATAGTTTTCAGCCGTAGTATGTTTTAGAGCGAGCATGTGATATTTGTCTTTGTGAATCTGACTTATTTTACTTAACCTTGTGGTCTCCAGATCCATCCATTTTCTTGCAAATTACAATTTTGTTGTTGTGGCTAAATAATGTTTCATTATGTGTATGTGTATAAGTTATATATTTTATATTTTATATGTGTATGCCCATATATGTAT